CAGATGCTTTTGAAAAGTTTCAGAACATTTTTATTCAAATATAATGCCAGAACATTAAACAATATATTAAATAGTTAATGGAAAATATTGTTTTCAACAATACCTGGGATAAATTGTGTTGGTAGAACTGTGTTCTATGATCAATTATAAACTTTTACTGAATCTTAAATGCCAGAGTTGAGATATAAATTGGTCCTACTACAATTTAAAATTTTGAAGACATGTTATTTATTGTCATACATCTTACTAATCCTTTTTTCTCAAATGGTAATGAACGACCAGACACAGGTATTTCATTTACAAAGCATGCAGATAATTATAAATCAGGATATCACACTTCCACTCTTGGTTGTTTCTTCAAGGCGAGCTTTTCTAGGTTATGAGAAGTGCAGTTTTAAATTAAGTCAGTTACACTGTGGCTTCTAGTTAAGCTTTGAGCCTGGAATAGTATATTTAAAAATTTGTCTCCTTGTTAAATAGGTACCATGACAGTGTTTGTGTAGTGTATTGCTAACCTCCAGTGGAAGGTTAAGCGGCTTCTTCTGTATCTAAATCTGTTGCCGTGAAAAATGACTGCAGTGTTGCACCCACCTACCCATGAATAGGGAAAGCAAAGACTTGCACCTGTGGGATTAGGTGTAGCAGCAGGAAGCAAGAGCGTTTGCAGCATATAATTAACAAGGAATTTTTTTCTCTTTTTTTTAAACAGCGTGTTCATCTTGCTAGGTTAACTAGTGATTAACGTTTGAAAAAAATTGCTGGAGTCTGCACTCTTTCTTAAACTCATTCACTCACTGATGTATTTGATTACTTATACAGTGTCAGAGGAACTCACCTTAAAATACTTTATTTCCTCCCATAGTTCTTGATTCCTTTATGCTCATGGGAGAATTTTTTTGGATTTTTGTGTTTTTTTACTATAACTTTGCTAGACAAATTCTATTATTTTCTGAATGAAATTAAAATAATTTAGGAACTGCTATTTTGATCTTAATAAACAAGATGGAAGAGTTAGTGCGTAGTAAACTGAGGATCCTGGAGATCTAAATGGGAGTATGAAAAAAAAATTACTTCGAAATGGCATTTAATAGGCAGAGTACTTACTGTATGGTTTTTGTTATTTTTCTCATATTAAGAAAACTATAATTACCAATTTAGAAGAGATTTCTAAATATAGCTCTCTAGAATATAATATTCTTAATTAAAACTAATCCAAATCCACAGTTGTTGAAGGTTAACTATATCAAAGGTCACTCCTTTGATATAGTTGGTAGTCATACATTTGTATCAGAATGTGTAGTTATAGGTTGTCTTTACAATGCAATCATATGCATTGTTTTCATTTACACACCAAAAAAAAAAAAAACCCACAAAAATGTACTAGCATGCTTAGTTGTTATTTTTTTTCACTAAACTTCCTTTTCTAATAAGATAACACTAAATAATGGAATTAGATGCAGTGACTTTCAGTGTGTAAATTTTACTGCTGTAATAAAACAGAATCTTAGCACATGGGAGCACTGAACCAGTGATAATGTGTTCTATCCAAACACGTTTGTACTGTATGTAGAAACTATTTAAAAGGAAAATTACATCTTTTTCAACAATTTATCAGAGATAATTACCCTTCATACACCAATTGTAGGATAAAGTGTTTTAAAGAACTATAATTCTAATTGGTAAATGTCACCAGCTGTTGCAGTTACTCTTACGTGTGTATATTCTTTTAATGATTATACTCTCATGCCACAAGCTACATGAAAATATATTCACTAGGTGTGAAATTCCCATATGTCACAGTTTCAAGAATAGGTAAACAGCTCAATGATAAAGGAAGAAATAATTCCAGTGAAGAATGTAAAAATCCTGGGTTTGTTTTCTAGGCAAGTGAATCTTAATTTGCCAAAAGGAGAGAAAATGCAGTTTTTAAAAGAAAAGGAAACCCTTAAACTTCATTACAACAAACTTAAATTAGCTTTGCCTCATATCTTCAACCAGAGAATTTTATTTACTTAGTAAGTTGTGGAACTGCCTCAACTTACAGATTTCAGTATTATATCCCTTGGATCTGCCAAATAGGTAAAAGCATTTTGTTTTCTTTCAGGCTTAAACAGTAAAGTGTTTGTTAGTTTTAGATGGTGGATGATAAACACTTCCTGGACAGTGTTTCATGAGAGCCTAATGTTATCTTGTAAGTGATCAAGGAAACAAAAAAGAAATTACCCCAGTGTCTGTGGTGAATGTTTAAAATCATTATTATTCAGCCTTCCTGGCAATAACTTAGTTTCCACTGAGACTGATGGGTCTAGTGACTGGCTGCACTCAATATCTAAGCAGTGGCCCTCAAAAGATGGAAACAAAAATGGGGTTGGGGTGGGGAGAAGTAGAAGGCCGGGCGCAGTGGCTCATGCCTGTAATCCCAGCACTTTGGGAGGCCGAGGGGGCCAGATCACGAGGTCAGGAGATTGAGACATCCTGGCTAACATGGTGAAACCCCATCTCTACTAAAAATACAGAAAGTTGGCCAGGCATGATGACTCGCACCTGTAGTCCCAGCTACTCAGGAGGCTGAGGCAGGAGAATCGCTTGAGCCTGGGAGGCTGAGGTTGCAGTGAACTGAGATTGCGCCATTGCACTCCAGCTTGGGTAACAAAGCCATACTCTGTTTCAAAGAAAAAAAAAAAGTGAACACAAGCCTCTCATTTGTCTGTTCTTCAACTCCCGGTTCACCTGGGCTGTACCCAACTGCCTTGGTATTATGTACATCACAGCATCACAGCATCCTGTTTCCTGGTACTTGCCTGAAACTCAGATGCTGAGGTAACGTGCTATTGTGTATTGAAAATTGTTATGTCATTTTTGTTCTGCAGCAGTAGGTTTTCTGAATGTTCTCATTTTCAATGTTTTGGCAAAGTTTGAGAGGCACAGAGAGAAATACATATCTTACAAGTTAGTTGCTTTTGAGTATTAATAGTTATAATCTTTGTACAAATTACCCTGTCTCTTCACTGGAAAAACTAATGTATAATCTCTGCTCTCCCAAAGAAGAAAATAATCTAACTTTTTTATTGATTATCTCTGCAACTGTTTAAACTTTCAAACATCATTCATGAGAATTATTGAAATAATGAAGGAATGAATTTGATAAGTTGCCTCCATTAGGTTGAAAATGTATTGCCTACATTGTTTATGAATGCTCTTGAAGGAGAGACCAGTAAAGACATTTATATAGTTATTTCAAGCTACAATTAATGTTGTTATGTCAGGATCATGTTGAAAGATATTTGAATTTATGTGGTATATATTTACCTTTAGACTAAATATAAGAGCAGTGAGAAATTGCACTAATTCTTACTGTACAGAAATAACTTTGTAATAAAAAATCAAATTAATTTTTATAAATGGAATAAGTAAGATATGCTCACTGCCTATACTATATATTAGTTAAGAGGTGGACAATTTTATTACATTATGTAAAATATACCCCTCCCCCCCAAAAAATGGCAGGAACTTTCTTTCATTAAAGGTGAAGATGTGACCACTGTCCTAACATTACTTACATGTGTATCTTGAGCTGTTTTTTCCAGCAGAGGTAATAGTTAAATGAACCGTATCCTCTTTCACCTAATTTTCTTATAATATTTACTTTTGCAAATGAGTCTGCTGACAAAGGTTATAGATGTGTTCTGTGAATATGAAATGATGCAAGGCTAACTGGCTTACTTAGGCATCAGTTCTACCTGTCTATCATTAGGTAGATGGATCTACCTAATCTAATAGATCTACCTATCTAATTCATAGTAGATCTACCTAATGATAGGTATTTATCATTTTGTTCTTATTAATGTCATACTCCAATCAATAACTCAATACAGATTAGGAACCAACCACAGGTATAGATGACACAAGTAAGTAATCCTTTCCTAGAACTGACTTTGTAGAGTCTATAGCAAGGAGAAATTGTATTACCTCCTCTACTATTAGAAGACACCAAATGTTAGACAACTTTGGAAAGGTATTTGATGCACATCTTTGACTCTACGTAGGAAACTAATTCATTGATACTCTTATCACATTTCTGAAAGGAAATAAATTATTCAGATAATGTTAGTAAATATTGAGTAGAAGCAATGGACAATCCACAAGGTATTTTATATTTCATTTTGTAGCATATTAAATCTTTTCTCCAATATCTTCCTCACATTATTTTACTCAGTTTAATAAAAACAATTAGTCTGTATTCCTTGAACACTCATAGTAGTTGAGGGAGGCATCTTAAGGAAAGCTAACATTTTTGGCTTGGTTTTATTTTGTTTCATTTATTTGTTTGAGACAGGGTCTGGCTCTGTTGCCTAGGCTAGAGTGCAGTGGCACAATCATAGCTCACTGCAACCTCAACTACTCAGTCTCAAGCAATTCTCCTGCCTCAGCCTCCTAGGTAGCTGGGACTACAGGTGCACAGCACCACACCCAGTTAATTTTTTTTTTTTTTTTTTGGTAGAGATGGGGTTTCACCATGTTGCCCAGGCTGGTCTTGAATTCCTGGGCCCAAGCAATTCACCTGCTTTGGCCTTTCAAAGTACTGGGATTATAGGCATGAGCCATGGCACCCAGTGCATTTTTTAAATATTATTGATAAGCCAGCCAGAAATGATGCAAAGTAAATTGTATTTGCAATTAGAAAATTATAAGTGGAAATTTTTTTGAAAAAATCATTCATTTATACTGCTGGACATACTGACCTTTCAAGATAGCCATTTAACAAAAAAAGATGTCTATAGATCTACAGCTCTGTATTTTCAATTTAATCTCAAGTTGTGAACATCAGTAATAAATTTTTGGTAATTATGAAATGTATTGAAGGTGCTCACTGTTGGTTTGGTCTTATGCTCATGTTATGACTGTAATTTTCAAATTTATTTTTCAGAGTGTGATTAAATAATAATTTCACAGTTGAGACCTGATGTTATTTTGTTCCCCCTGCTTTTCTTTCACAACAGAAACCAGGAATGGATCTGGCAGACACCTATATTATGTTTGTTCGGCAAAACCAAGATATTCTTCGAGAAAAGGTCAATGAGGAAATGTATATAGAAAAGTTATTTGATGTAAGTAGCTTCCCTTGCAAGGTATGCTGGCACCATAGATAAACTGCAAAGAGAAAAGTTGAATTTTGATTATATGTTTGTAAAGCAGACTCTCCTTTTTTTGGTTCTTTATCTTCTGTACTAAAAAGTTGAAGCCTGCCAGGCACGGTGGCGCACGCCTATAATCTCAGCACTTTGGAAGGCTGAGGCAAGTGGGTCACTTAAGGTCAGTAATTCAAAAGCAGCCTGGCCAATATGGCCAATCCCTGTCTCTACTAAAAATACAAATAATAATAATAATAATAATAATAATAGCTGGGTGTGGCAGTGAATGTCTGTAATCGAAGCTACTTGGGAGACTGAGGCAAAAGAATTGCTTGAACCTGGGAGGCAAAGGTTGCAGTGAGCCAGGATTGTGCCACTGCATTCCAGCCTGGGCAATAGAGCGAGACTTTGTCTCAAAAAAATGAATAAATAAAAAATAAAAAGTTGAAGCCATTCTAGAAATAGACCATCATGGATAGATTTGTTGATGTGTGGGCAGGGGGGCCGGTGGTGAGGTGCCTTCTGAACATCTTCAATTTTTTGTCTTAGGAACCTATTTATTGCAATTAATTTTTGCCATCAGTTTGTTATAAAGGTATAAGTTTTTCCTCCTTGAAAGTTATTCTCCATTTCCAGCTCCTCTTCATTTGCAGCTAATATAGTTGATAATTTTTATACTTCGTTGACTGCTGATGGAAGCCTTAATTAGCTTCCTTTTCTACTGAAAAGTATCATCTGGTGAAAAGGATCACCAGAATTAGTCTCAAAAACCTGAGGTTTGTTATAACAAGCCAGATAATAATCATTTTTCCATGGTGTTCAGCATCTTTTCACTTGCCTTTTGCAGCATTCCATTAACAGAATCCTGTTATGGAGGATGTGGTCCCTTCTATAAGATGTTTTAAGTCAGTATGATACTCTGCAGTCAAACCAACAAATAAGCTGCAGTAAAGCCAAATATCTGCCACTCCACTGTTGAATATTTTTATCTTGTTTAAAGTACTGATGTATGCTAAAATATGCAATATTACAGTTTTATCAGCACTAAGGTCATCATGTATGCATGACAATGCCTAGAAATGAGGATCGTGGTTTTGTATACTATGATCATCGTGTTTCATTTATTCAGCATCTGTAAAGGAGACTAAGAGAGCAGTCAATTTAAATAACCATGTTGTCATTCATTTGTAATTATTTTATAGTCAGTTCAAAGGAATTGATACTTTGCTTGTGACATAACTTTGCATAATAATTCACCACAATTTGGATTCTGAAATGTAATATTTGCTTTGAAGCTTATTTATTTATGTACATCTTCTCTGCATTTTAGAAATGCTTTTCTGGCAGTTTCATTTAATTATGCAAGTTACTGCAAATGTTTTCATAACAGCAATTCACGGGCTTCATGGTGACACTTCAGCTGTGGCAGTTACAGAAGGTCCCGCTATGCCATCCTCTCTGCCGTGGTCTCTCATGTCAGTGTTCATTGTCATTTTGGGTGGTCAAAATGAATCTTATCTTGCATGCTTTATGTTTCTACCCTTTACTCAGGCCATCTTACAATAAAAAGTATCATCTGTTTTAATAAGCTAAGTGTTAATATGCGTGAAAAAAAATGATTTTCTAAAAGCTTTGATGCCCTGCAGGGGTGGAAAAATTATCATTCATCCAGCTGGCTCTTTTGCAAAATACTGAAACCATATTAGCAACTTCTGCTTCTGTTTGGTATTGTTCTGAATTTACAAACATATGTTTCATTTCCAAGTTCTCTTTTACTTTTTCTGCTAATGTGGTGATTTTCAAAACTGTTAAACAGAAGAGGGAAATTGAGTTGATGTTATTCCCATTATGGTTCTTCTTAGAATAGCTAAAGCATATATTCTGTGATGGAAAGTTAAAGCCATTCTATAAGTAGATCATCATAGATAGATTTGTCAAGGGGAGTGGGTGAACTTTCTGAACATCTTCAGTTTTTTGACTTGGTGACCTATTTACTGTAATCCATTCTTGCCATCAGTTTATTATAAAGGTAGAAGTTTTTTTCTCCTTGAAGTTATTTTCTACTTCCAACTCCTCTTCATTCACTGAAGTTCTTTGGAAGACTTTCTGTGTGGCAGCGATAACAGACAGAGGGAACTGAAGTGGCTCTAAGGAGGCCAAAATTAAAATATGACACAAGTTTTACTGCCCCGACTGGATATACCTTCATTCAGTACCTAAGCATCTGACATGGCGGTGGGTCTAAAAGGAATTCTTAATAAGTAACCATTCTGTTTTGGTTGTGAAGGTTTTATATTTTAAATATCCCCGGTAGAACACTAGACTTGTTATTTGTAAAATAGTTGTAATGTCCTTAAACATTGCACATTTTTATTACTTTATTTAAAAATAAAAATAGGCCCTAATTCTGTTGATTTGTCATCAAGAATAACATGTATGAAGGGATACTAAGAGCCCCTAATTAGCCAAGACTGAATTTGCCTCAATTACAGTTAGAAAATGAGAGGTTATCAAGTATGTGTTGAAAGGTAAAGTAGAATGTGTATCTTAAGCAACAGATCATTACTGAGAGACATTATATAATTATTTGAAATCCACTTGGCTGGAGCTTAAAATAATATTGTTAGGTGTCAAAAAACAGTTGAAAATAATGACCCTATAAATACTGTTAGCAACCTTAGCCTATTACAGATAAAAGATTGAAAAGAACAATTTCATTCAGGCATCATGACAAACTTCTGCTATTCCAATTAGAGTATTTCCTATATAAGTAAGTAAATGGATCTTGTTAACTTCAGATGCAGATGAAAACACACTTACACACACATTACAATGAGTTAAAACTTAGTGATTTTAACCAACTCAGATAAGAAAACAAGGGCCACAGTTTCTGAGTCACGTAACATGAGCGCTTAAAGTCTTCAAGAAATTCACTTAGTTTTGGAAATACCACATTTAACACTATTTTTATATAAAACAATTAGTCTGCAAAACAGATATTCACCCTGCCCCCAAGATTTTTGGAAAGTATGTTTTACTAAATAATCTTTGATGGTGATGTGACTATATTAAAAAGTTTGTGGAACTTTCCCTGGGTGTAGGAAAGTATCCCTGACCTCTATAACTTTTTGATCATTTAAACATCTTGATTGTTCCTGATTTTTGTGGTGAAATACCCCAGGGTTTGGTTTAAATAAGGTGCTGATGCTTAAGATCAAAAACATAGCATTGCCCTAGATTTGTACCCATTGTTTTAGGAATGAGAATGATATCTTCAAGAGTTTTCAGTGTGCAACCTACACAGACATTTACCATACAAAATCTGCTTCTGGAGCATTCTACACTGCTGCTATCATTCCCATCTCCATTAATAAGTCGTTAATGTCAACGTATGAAAGAGGAAATGAGTAAAATCTGCATTGTCTTAAAGGTCATAAATAGGATAATCTTCAACTTTTACATCAAATCTTGAAATATTAAAATTAAAAAGTATCCTTTGAGGGTCACAAAAACTAATATTAGGAAAAATGTGAAGGCATTATATTCACCTCATAAGTAGTTACATTTTACATTTTACTTATGTAAAAAATTACATTTTACATAAGTAAAACACTTTACTTTTACTTATGTAAAATGTAAAAAATTACATTTTACATAAGTAAAACAGTCTGTTTTAAGCAAAAAACACTTTTTGCTTAAAACAGAAATAACTTTTTAAAAGTATAAATAAATTATGGCAGGTCCAGGATGTTAACAGAGAAAAGTAAGTTTGTTTAAGGGTACATCCTTAATCTTTTCAAACTATCAAAATAATAGCTGCGGCTTTCACCACTATCATTCCCTGGGCACTTCCGTTCCCCAGGAAATGTGCTAGGTGCTTCACCTGTGTCATTTCCAAGCTCCTAAGCTAGATCCCATCAATCCCATTTTATCCCTATTTTTAGGTTAAAACATCTCCCACTCAGAGAAGATAAGTGACTTGTGGATTGTCAAGTCAAACTTTGAAATCATATTTCTCTAGTTTCAAAGCCCATGCTGTCTCTACCTTACCTCTGAATTACAAAATTTGAAATGATAAACTAGTGTTATGGGAAGAGCTCTGGTCTGAGAATGCAGAAACCTGAGTTCCAACCACAGTTCTGCCATTAAATTTCTGGGTGAGTTCGAATAACACAGAGTTATGCCATCTGTGTAAGACTCAGTTTACTTAATACATGTAAACTAAAGATGTTGGTCTGGAACTCCGGATGATTTCTGAAACTCTTCCAGATTCTAAATTAATCATTCTTTTGGGTTTTTTTGTTGTTGTTTTGTCTTATTTTGTTTTTGAGACAGACTTTTGCTCTCATTGCCCAGGCTAGAGTGCAGTGGTGCTATCTTGGCTCATTGCAACCTCTGCCTCCTGGTTCAAGCGATTCTCCTGCCTCAGCTTCCTGAGTAGCTGGGATTACAGGCATGTGCCAGCATTTCTGGGTAATTTTGTATTTTTACTAGAGATGTGGTTTCTCCATGTTGGTCAGGCTGGTCTCAAACTCCTGACTTCAGGTGGTCAGCCCACCTCGGCCTCCCAAAGTGCTGGGATTACAGGCATGAACCACCACACCCAGCCTCTTTCAGTTTTAATGTTAGCAATGATGACAGAAATTACTGGGTTTGTTACATAAAGGGTCTTGTACTTCAGAATAGTAATTTCTAAGTTATTTGCGATAGCCGGGTGAAAATAAAGTGTCCCACCTCAGAAGCAATAGCACATGAAGTAGATTAATAGAAAAGAAAATCTATCTACAAGAATAACTGTGCCATATAATGTTCTGTGTATCTGTCACTATAGTTCTGAAACCCATTTTTTTTTTAAGACAGTATCTTGCTCTGTCACCCAGACTGGAGTGCAGTGGCCTGATCTCGGCTCACTGCAACCTCTGCGTCCTGGGTTCAAGCAATTCTCCTGCCTCAGCCTCCCAAGTAGCTGGGACTAC